AAAATCCCAGGTAAAGCAATAACAATCCATCAGAAAAGTTACACCAGATGTAAATATGTGCTGGCCAGGCTACAATGTTCTCTGTCTGTTTTAGTACTTTACCTGTGCTTTTGTGGCCTATACTTCAAACCTTTTTACTTGAATAACTCCTTTTCCTTGTTTTTCTATCAAGCCCCTTGGTTGCAGTTTACTCCTATATACTTTCCTTGTATTTTCCATACCTCTCTGTTCCATCTCGACTCCTATATCTCCTTTAAATCAGCTCAAATGTCCGCTCTCTCCCCCAGTGCCTCGCCAGTGTTCGGAAAGCGAGTTTGCCTGCACCAATGGACGCTGTATCGCCGGCCGCTGGAAATGCGATGGAGATCACGACTGCTCAGACGGATCAGACGAAGTAATGCATCTCTTTTCTATTTTCCGCTTGGCTGGGCTTTCACTTTGGCTGTAGATTTGTGGAGCTAAAGGAGGTAGTGCTGTCACGATTTTAATAAAAGTTTGATACTAAGGAATAGACTTGATACTCAATACCGATTCCGATACAATAATGACAACAAAAAACTTTACTCAGTAGAATGATTTTCAACATTAAATCGCAGTACTTTCTTTTCTATTCCCATGTGGTCTGTGTAATCGTCAGTAGTCTAGGTAGGTTCCATAGTGGTCCATGGATGTATACTAGTCTATGTGCTCTTATACTTGTTCTTATATAGCTCAAGATCATTCTAAATTCAGGAAAGGTTAATTCTGTCATGTGAATTTGACATTTTTAATATCAATACCTGCTCAAATTAGTATCTGATTTTCAGTACTTTTGACAACTATAAAAGGAGTACCGTACCAGCCAAAAAAATGCCTAATGAAGAAGAAAAAAAACATATATAAGTCATACAGGACTATAAGTCACACTTTTTGGGGGAAATTTCAAGGCAAGTTCTAGTAATAACAATAGAGCAGAGAACATAAGACTGTCACATATGAACAGTTCTTCAGATAAACTATAACATAAACAACAGAACAGAACAAGTTTACCGAACTCTCCATCTCACTCCAAATCACTAAATTCTTCATCCTCGGTGTCACTTCTGAGCAACTCGGCCTCGACCTCCGGAGGTAAACAGAGCGCCGCTTCCTCTTCTGTGTAGCTGTCGTCAGACTCAGCATCAGTTCCAGTTAGAATTATTCGGGCCTTTCTGAATCCCAACAGGATGGTTTCGTTGTCACTGAAGTCCAGATTTTGTCCATTCATCCAGTGACTTCAGGAAAGTTTCATGGTGCATCCTCCCGGTGTCACAAGTTTCTCACTCACTCCAAACTTTCTTTCTGCTGCTCGATTACCGTTTTCAGCTAGAGATTTCACGACTTGCAGCTTCAGTTAATAAATTTGTTTAAATTTAGAATTTTCAGAAGTAATGGTGTGATCGACTGACATGATACAGACAGGACAGAGGCTCTTTCTGCAGGAGACATGTGCAGTAGAGTGAAGTGACAGTGGTACAGGAGGAACAGGAGCAGCAGATACTGACACACAAGACTAGACCCTCTCACCGCTTCAATGTGAAAATTGTAATATTTAAGTCCCACCGGAGTATAAGTTGCAGGAAACACCCAAACCATGAAAAAAAAGTGTGAGTTATAGTCCAAAAAATATTGTATTTCTTTATCTTTTTTTCTTTCTGCAGAACGGTTGTGATCTGAAGTGTGACAGTGATCAGTTCCAGTGTAAGAGTGGACACTGTATTCCCGTTCGCTGGAGATGTGACGCTGATCCGGACTGTCTGGACGGGAGCGACGAGCAGCAGTGTGACAGCGGAGGTCAGGAAAATTCTTTTGTTACTGATACTTTGTGGTTACATCATCATGCTGGGAGGCTATATATGTATGTCTACGGAGGACTGTTCAGCAGTTACCATGGTGTCACAATGCACATGTTAGCAAAAAAGCTCCAAAAAACACTTCATTAGAGTGCAGCTTCAGTTCAGCTTTATCTGGGTAAAATAAATAATAATAAAAAATATCATTTATAGGAGCTTTCATGCCTTAAACATTTAATGAATTCATCAAAACAAAAATTCATTGATCAGTAAAATAATTGTTAGTTACAGTCTAATCACAAAGTTTTATTTTAATGTGATCCAAAGTTATTCCTGTCTTACCTTCTGCATTTAGAGCATCCTTATTACTCAGCACAGTGAGACTTTCTGATTATTGGAGAGTAAGCAGACAGCTGCTTATACAATATATCTAAATAACTGCCTACTTGCAATGCAAAGAATAAAAACTCCAAAATACTGTGAAGACCACAGTAAGAAATGTGAAGATGATCACATAACAGCTCTTCTAAAATACTGCATAAGCCTCTCGACTTTCTCTTTCTGTCTGTAGTGGATCGACACTGCCCCCAGGATGAGTTCCAGTGCAACAACACCCTGTGCAAACCTCTGGGCTGGAGGTGTGACGGAGAGGACGACTGTGGAGACAACTCTGACGAGGACCCAGAGCAGTGTGGTAAGAGTCACTCTGTAATCATTATCATTTAGAAAATCTGCAGGTAATCTTATATCTTTATAATAAACACATGTTTATATCTACTGTTCTTTTGCCCCCTCAGTGAGGTTCCAGTGCCCGCCCACACGTCAGTTCCGTTGTCATAATGACCGTGTGTGTCTGCCTGTGTCCAAACGCTGTGATGGAGTCAACAACTGTGGAGACAACAGCGACGA